TGGCAATAAAAGAAATGAAAGGGAAAAGGGCAAGAAATTCTATGGAAAGACTTTAGACCTATCAGTCTTACCACTTCCACCTACAAAATCTTGGCTAAGGTCCTCRCCGAACAATTAAAAAAGGCTAGTACTATTTCTTCGAATCAGAGTGGCTTTATTGAAGGTAGGCAAATTCTTGATCCAATGTATATTGCAAACGAGATTGTAAACTACTACAAGTCTAAGAAGAAAGAGGAGGGTTGCTAAAGCTTGAGTTAGAAAAAGCCTTCGATAGAGTGGATCGGGATTTCCTTGTTGCCATTCTACTTAAGAAAGGGTTTGGAAGCAGATGGAGTAGATGGATTAATGGTTGCATCAGAGGAACGAAATTTTCAGTCTTCATCAATGGTTGACCGAGAGGGGGAATACAAGCTTCAAGAGGATTTAGGCAAGGGGATCCTCTTTCTCCAATCCTTTTCCTTATAATCAGTGATGTGCCAAGTAGTTTATTGGAAAATGGTGTCTTTGAAGGCTTTATTGTTGGAAGTAATTCAGTTCATATCTCTCACCAGCAGTTTGCGGATGATACATTGCTGTTTTGTAAAGATGATGATGAAATGTTGTAGACCCTTTTTGCTACCATTAAGGCATTTGAATGGATGTCCAGTTTAAAGGTAAATTGAGACAAATTTTCATTAAGTGGCATGAAAATTGAACCACAAAAACTCCTTTCTTTTAATATTCACAACTTTCAAGACTCATCCGGGTATCAAAGATTTGAATGTTAACCAATGTAATCAAAAGTATTAGATATTAACATCTCGAGAGGTCGTTCGACCCAAGAGGTTTGAAATCAAAACCTCTAGTTTGTATCTCTACTCTAGTCCAAGCACACTTACTGCATATTTATGGACCATTCAGTATAATCATACCTGCACTGAAATGCACAAAACATTAACTAAGCTATCAATCACCCTTGAAGACAAGTTAAACCTCAAGAAAGCACTTGAAAACTTGAAAACTTCATTGATATTTGATTGCCAACTAATGGAGAAAGCAGACATACCATTTCTTCAGGTGATCCGAAATGCCCTTCCTCTTCTTATTTAGGGTTTTAATTAAAATATCCCACTCAGCAGGAATCTTTGATCCATTAGGAATAGCCTCAAATGTATCACTAGTTGATGAAATTGTACTATTAAAAGGTGGATGAGGTAAGAGATGAAGATTGCGCAACTGCTCTCCCAAAAAGGAAGCTAAGTTCAAAGTATCATCCCATGATAAAGCATCTCTTCTGCATAATTGTCAAAAATCATTGAAGACTAATTAAAGTCTATCACTTTGAAATAATACAACAAATTTGAACTTAGACAAGAAATTGACAATCTTACAGTTGAGCAAACATCTTCCCTTGGCATCGCTTTGTAATGATATATGGCCATATATTTATTGGTTCAGCAGGTTTAATTGGCCCATATACTGATAGCCCAACTTTTCTGTATTCAAATTGTTTCTTACTCCATACACCGAAARGGAAATCGTTGGCTTGGCACATCTCTGGAATCAGGTTGCACTTAGCAATCACATCCGGAATTTCTTTGCCATTCCAAGGCACAATTTTGTAAGCTCCACTTTGAAGATAAAGAATGCCAGATGCCAAGACTTCAGGAACGTGGTTTTTCAGTGGAGAGTTCCCTTTACGTAGTACATTATAAAACTCTAGCTGTGAAGTATGCAGAAAAGGAATTAGATCAATATGAAGATAACATTTTAGGATAAAAATGAAAGTACAATGCTACCTCAGTGCCTAAACCGTATATTGAAGCTTCAACACCTTCTTCAGTATATATCTTTACTACACGATCATCCATGAGATAAACCTAGAGAAAGAGCAAGAAGTGGTAAAAAAGTTAACGAAAATCAGAACAATTATGTATTTCTATTTCAGCTTGTCTTTATTTTTTTCCCCTTAAAAAAAGGGAGGAAATGAGGGGAAAAATGATGAGGATCTTCMTCTAAAAAAAATCGTTAGTTTAACACAATATGCACAGTAGTGATAGTGCGCTGAACTAGGAATTAATTACTCAAATGTAAAGTGTCAAAATCACATTTAGTTCTTATAAGTAAGATCATTGCTAGTTTATTCACCGTAGTTTCAAAATATTCCAAGTAGAACGCTGCACACAAACACTTAAATCAACAACAAAATGAATAAGAATTTGGATAGGTTGTGCCTTCTAAAAGACTTTTGAGAGTGCATTCTCCATGGTCACTTGTCTGTGAATCGAGAGTTTGGATTTGGGACCCCTCAAGTACTTCAATATTGATCCTTTCTYGACTTTTAATTTCCTTAAAACTCCTGTCTGCACCACCTTCCTGTTTAGAAGGATCTGGAAAGTTCATGCACTCAAGAAAGGGAGATTTTTTGTCTAGTTTATGACTGTGATAGAACCCGAACAACTAACAATATATTGAAATATAAAAGATATAAGAACTATAATAACTACCAAGTAATTCGAGGTACTTGGACCCTCCCCTCTCTTGAGTATTCTTACTCAAGCCTAAACCATACTCACTAATTGCCTATCTTCATCCTTGCCCCCTTACTGTATTTATAACCAAACCCCCAACTCAATTACTAATATACTACCTTTGATATCCCAATAATATTCCCAATCTATCTAAGAGCAATCCTATCAGACTGTGGTAAAAGAGAGATTCCTTTTCATGCCTCAGTCCTCAATGGTATATTTTGTACAGGGTGATAGGAGACTGAGACCATTTGTTTCTTTTCTATCTTTCTCTTTTCAGTACTTGGCGTTGATTTTATCAAGTCTTTGGCACCAGCATAGCCCTGTGTACTAGTTTTCTTTTTGGAAATGCTCAGCGACCATACTTTTCAAGGGAAAGGAAGATTGCTTTGGCAAAGCTGGAGACGTTTGAGATTTGTTGGTGTATTTTGTCCTGGTCGGGACTTGGGACAGAACAATAAGATCATTAATGACCTTATTATTTACAGTTACACATTATAATGCAGCTTTATGGACCATCCGGGCTTCTGGATATATATATATTATATTTTTAGATTTACTTTAGACAGGGGACAAAGTTCTCRTCGAAATAAGATGATGAAAAAGGTAATCCACCCAACCTATGGAAGGAGATTATGAAAGAAATCCCAATCTACAATAATCAAGGACGAGAGAAATACAACTATTTTGTAAATTCTTAGTGTCAGGCGTCTACGGATCACTTGTTTTTATTTTCTCACACATTTTTGCCCTTGTGTTTGCAAATTGATAGAAGAATACATTTTCACACATGCCTTAAAATCTAGAAAATACTAATACACGATTAGCTTAACCAGAAATCTTGCTCGTGATATTCTGAATTTGAGACGTTCAAGATTGTAAAATATATCCAGTAAGTCAAATTTGAATGAAGCATGATAATGATAAAATGTTTCCTTACTAGAATAGGGATAGGGACTCTAGATTGTAAAAAATTCAGCATACTTACAGGATTACTGCCCATGCCAACAGGAAGCCGCTCATCATCAGAGGGAGGAGACATATCATGAAAGGCACAAATTTCTTCCAGGCAATCTAACCATTTTCCCGCATTTAAAGCAAGACATGCTCCCTGGTACGGTTCAAAGTAATTAGTAACTTACCATTTGTGAATAACAAAAAGAATGACGCAGTTCATACTAAGTTAGCCTTTAAACAGTTGAGACCTGTGATAGTAAAAATTAAACTGGCATTAAGGTCTGAGATCCCAAATTAAATCTCAGCAATATTATATCCTCCCTCATTACAATACTAATACCATGTCAATAAACCTCATTATTTATTAGAYTACCACATCTTGCTTGCAGAGAGARTTAAGAATAATCTGAACAATCTAAATCTTTTAGTTAGGTAAGAGAAAAAACAAATTTGTTACAAGTGCAATGACCAAAAAGTATGATTTTTCCCTGATGTATTATGCTGACAAACATAAAAAGAACAAAGCAGGAAAAATTTGCCTGAAGGAAGATCTTTAAAATTTTACTCTTGTACGATAGTGCTGTCCAACAAGGTTCATATAATGGAAAAAAGTTTACAACTGAGTGAAAAATTCTCACATAATAAACTCATAAGTGGGAGAGAAAAAAATGCCATTAATAAAATTGGATCTACAACTTACATAACAAACCAAGGCAACTTAATTATTTTTTTTTATAAGAAACATGGAAGTATATTCAAAAGTGAGGCACAAAAGAACAACAATACTAATCATTACAAATGATGACTAGCCACAAAAGATATGTACCTTCCAAATTAACTCTCTCATTGCTGGTCTTTCATACCAGAGCTTGGATAACCATCCCCTCATTTCCCGTTGTCCAATGCAATTGCCTGGGCTCCACGGAGAGTTATAGTGATCTCTTTCCTTGTCCAGAAATGAGGCCAAGAATTTTATATCATAAGAAAAACCTTGCTTCCACAAATTATAGAATTTAGAGGCGCCAATTTTATTTTCATGATTTGCATCATCTTCACATTGGAGCATCTTGATCCTTTTCTCTTTCCTTTCAAGGTCAGAATTACTCAAACTACCTTTATCATTGGAAATATAAGTTTCAGTATCTTCAAATCCATTTTCATCAAGAGCCAGGAATCCAGCACGACAGACTCCTTTGTGGCGATAACCAGGTGCCATATCCAAGCACACAAACTCAAAGTTGTTGAAATTTACAAAATTCTGTGTGACCGCAATTGTCGATTCAAGATTAAGAACACAGTGCCACCAACCACTTGGAACGTAGATCGTCTCTCCTGGAAGTTGGGTGCATTCAATAGGCTTATCTTCATCAGCAAGAAGTGGATAAAAATCGAGCCACCACTATATACAAAATAGCCCAAAGTAAAATGTTTAAATACACCAAAATCATACACAACATAAAGACAGCATGCTTAGGCCAATATACCTGCAGTGAAGATGGAGTTTCGATATTGACATCACCATCTTCCTCGTTAACATGGACTGTAACACCTAGAGGTACTTTACCTGGAGGGTACAGTGCCCACCTGTTCAAACATTGTTGTACAGCTTTGTATTGATCAATTCTTTATATTAATGACAAGTAGGAGTAAATAAGAAGCACGGTACAGAAGTTATAGACRTATAATCAGATACCACATTGATTATTCTAAACATAAGAAACAAAGCTGGTGATAGATTATGCCATGCATGAACCATGCTCCTGTTAAGAAAGAATGCATTCACAACATATTATCCTTTCTCAACAATGACCAGACGAAAAGGCAAGGAGCATCACTTTATAAACAGCCATGTGATTACAGTAATCCTATGTTTCTTGACAAGAGGATGAGTTGAGCTCCAAAATCATTGAGATCTAACAAGCTCTGATCTCTGCAATATCGCAGGCCTCTAATCCAAACATGGAGTCAAGAACAGAGCCAAAAGTATTGATAATTGATAAACTTTAAAGTTCAAACAAAGCACTCAATATTTCAAACTCCAGAGAGAAATCCCCAACCACAGCCTCCTCTACCTTCTCCTCATCTTTTTTTTTTAAACAAGAAACGAACTTTTCATTGATAAATGAAAGTGATAAAAAAATTTTCAAATATACAAACTCTCGAAAGGGTAAAAGATAAAAAGAAAGAGCTAAGAACATAAACGGGAATAATATAGAAAACTAAACTGGAAAAATAAAGGCTCCCCAATTAGAACAAATGATAGAAGGAGAAAAATACTCAAATAATTTTGAACCAGAAACCCATAGTGAAGCTTTGAACTTGGATATGTAAAAGCAATTGGCTGCCGATCTACAATTGTTCTCAAAGATCTTTTTCAACTGGGAATCTCACTAAACTAACGGAAAAATATTTATTTTCTATCTCACAATTACTACACTCCATGGAAGCTTCTATCCTTACTACGACTCAGGAAAAGAKAGTAAACAGAGAAAGAGAGAGCACCATTTTCAAATAACCACCTCATTTTACCAACTTTGGCTTTTCCATCTGCTTTGCTTTATTTACTTCCAAACATATACCTCTGCTGTCACTTTCTATTGCTTTGGAGTCGAGGTTTTCAAGGAAACACCTAACTGTACTCCTTCAATTAGTTTTCTTACATACTAGCTTAATTTCAACTTATTTCGTGGGATTCTTCTTCTCCTATATGTCTTCCTTTGACTGGTTTTCTTACACGGAATAGGTTTTTTCTTTTACAATAATAATAATAAACACAAACTTTTCTTTGATATCTGAAAAGATACAAACTAGAAACTAATGAAACATATCAACAAACCCTAAAAAACCATAACTAAGCAATCTTTTTTTTTCTCTTTTTGATAAGACAGGGAAATAACTAAGCAATCTACAAACCAAAAGTTACAAGAAAATAGTCCAATAAGAAATAATCCCCACTTATTTTGTGTGATTCTTCTCCTACGCATATTCCTTTGAAATTTCCCATCTTTAAAAGCATAGCTTGAATTTTCTCACTTAGGAAAGATGTTGTAAAGACTTTCATCCTTTTATTTCTCAATCTCCAAATGTTTCTATAGCTTCAACTTTGCCATCCAATCTTCTTTCTTCAAGATACTCCTCATCTCCGGATAATTTTTCTTCAAGGCCCCTTTCCTATTGAGATTGAGAACAGTAGGAAAGTTCTAAAATCTGAGTAGTTTTTCCAAGAGGCAGTGAAAATCACAAAAAGTTCCAATTAATATATTTCCATATTCTCCATTATTTCTCTTCATCCAAATCGGCCAAAAATAGCTATAGTAGCATTTCTCCAAAGGGTACTGCTTTTGCTCTAAACCACAAGAACGACGTAAGTTCAATTTCAAGAAGCACTAAACTAATATCTTTGTGGACGCATCAGACCAACTCAAAAATACTGCAAAGGTCGGACCAGTCTGCAGCCATTTACAGCAATGAAGAGTGGTTATGGATTCTTAAATGCACATGCAGTTCAGATACACGTGGGGAAAGAGAGAAACGTGCAAGTTCCTCCTTAATTTTATCTTGAGTATACTCTTGTGGGTAAGAGAGCGTAGGAAAATTTTGACTTTTTTAGGGTCCTTGATCTCCAAAATTTGATTTGTCAAAGAAAAAGGTCTTTGAAATTTTATTGAAGAAGGAAAAAGTGGCTGATTTACAGTAAAACTCCTGAAGGGACTCAATTCAAAATTTTTTCATTTAGTCACCAACTCACTGATGAAGGTGTCAGTCACCTGAGTGATCTCCTTGGCAAATACCTCTTGTGACTGAAAGATTACCCCCTAAATCTACCCTTTATAAATATCAAAAAAGTTTTCGGAGAAAATACACTCGTAAATCCACATCTTCCACGGAAGGTCAAAGCCTTACTACACCACAACAACATCCAGATAGATCCAATCTACATTTTCATAAGCTTTCTCCATGTCAATTCTAGATATGTAACCTCTTATCCAAAAAAAAAACTCTAGATACCTAACCGCATCCAAAGGACAAAGGATCTAAATTCAATCGAGGGAAGCTCTTTCTGATCCAACCATGAATCTAAATGGAATAGGACCCCACTTGAAAGTTACCAAACTTGGCAAAATCAAAAAATGATCAGAAGTTGTAGAAGATGAGAGGCCACTGCATACTATAGAAATCACGCCAGTCTTGAGACACCAAAATGTTATCTTAGTACAAATAATGGAGCCCCGTAGGTTTGATCAATGAAGTCCACATCATGAGAGGAATATCAACGAGGATAAACACTTCATGCTTCTAGTCATTCTGCCACACTAGGATTTATCCCTATAACCCATCTGCACACGTTGAAGTTACCCCAGGCCCAAACACCATCTCCCTAACAAACTTCTCTATCTAATGGCTGATTTGCCCCAATAACTGCCGCATCAGTTTCTTGCCCAAAAAATTGTTTACGTATCCCTACAACCTAGAATAATTCAACCGTAGAGTTGTTAGAAAATAGAGGAATATAGAAAACCAAATACTCAACTTCTACAAGATAGTATGGCACAATTTGTCCAGAACGYGTATATACAAAATGAGCTCCAAACCATATATTGAACTCCCAAAATATCATATGAACATAGATTCAATGATATGGACATGGTTTCATCCAGAACATGAATTTACTGAATAATCTCTAAGCATTGTTAAATCATCTTCATATAAATTCATTTCCCATTACTGCATTTGTAGGACCAATCGTAAATATTATTGTTTCTTTCTAGTAAGCCAGAGTTCAGAAGTTATACCTCTTACGGCCACATAAAAGAGTATTCCAGGCACTTGTAAGCGCTGGATCAACATGCCAAGAAGCTCCAGACCTCTCTGGGCCAATGATAAGCCATCTAAAGGGAGGTCGCTGATCTCCATCCAATACATCAAAAAGATCTTCTTGAAATAGATGAGGCACGTCATAATCTTTTAATAAATCTGGTGCAACTTCCCCAAACTGCATAAAACATAAAGAATGGTCTTAATTTACAATATGGAGTTAACATGCGAAAAGAAAACAAAAAGGGCGATCTTATTATCATCTTCCAAGACTACCTTGTCATCAAATATATACAAGGGATCCTCATCATGCTGAAGCTGCATGTATGATGCATAATCCTTAAATTTCATTGAGATCTTCCGAGTACTCCTTTGAGAGATTTTGAATGCAGTATCTCCATACTTTAGTGATAGATAGTCAACTGACCATGCACTCCTAGCTGGCCAAGTATCAGCCAAGCCAGAAAGTATAATCTGGCATAAAACAACAGCCTATTGAGATTGGCCCAAACCACATACAAGTCTTATGTAAAAACCTATTRATGTAGTAGGATTAGGGATAATTTTGTAATTTTCAACTTTAGTTTGGTTGTTACTTTGGTGATTTGTTAATAATTGGTTTTTATTTAGTTTGTGGGTTGACATCTTTTCTACTCTCTTGTATTTTTAACGTTTTTGGACAATAAAAAAGATTTTTCTAGTCTCCTCTCCTATATTTCTTTTTATGTTCGTTAATCTTATTCCAAGTAAAAATAATAATAAGATAAAAGATCAATCCAACAAAAGGAAAGGGAAGAAGTTAAAGTGTAATGAATAAATTTGAAGAGGTGCAAGGGCCATTAAATTGAATCACAGGACTAGAATGATCAATTTTGTCCGCGGATAATCTAACTCTAATAAGAAAGGACAAACTACGATTTCAAAAGCAAACATACTGGTTTTTTCCCATCAAACTCATTTTGGAACTCTTCCGAAGAAATATTGTTTCTCCTTTCCACATTGCCAGCATCCAAATAAAATCCATCCAGTGTAGTATGGGATCGATAAAATCTTCGGTATAAGAACATAGAATTGAAACCTGCCCATGTTAAGTTAACAATAATAAGTAGAAGGCACCTGAGAACAAAATTTCCAACACAGTAACAGGAAAATATCTCCCAAAGAGATCAAAAATTCACTTCTACGCAAAATAACCATTACCATCAAAGTGCAATTGCTTCCTACAGTGGTCTTCGTATTCATTAGGAATATTTTCTCTGTAGTGAAAATGAGGACAATATGAGAGAGTAAAATTTGCAAAGAAAATAAAAATGACAAAATGAATCTTCACTAAAATTGAAAAATGTATTAAAAAATAAATGTTGCAAAAATAAGAGTCAAGATAATCAATGGCCATTCAGAAAGAACAAAATGTTCACAGGAAAATCAGCAAGCTATCAGCAACATTTTATTTTACAAAAACATACAAATGGAGTGCCGTTTTCTTCCAGGAGCCTYTGTACTCAACTGGACCTTTTACACTGTTAAGGCATAGACTCATCCAGAGTGGTTCTTCATTGCATAAAATGTACATAACGCTGCATTACAAAGAGAGCAGTTGTTAATGAGCATTGCCAGAGAAAATACACATCTATCAGGAAAACCTCACGCCAGCATCTCTCTTTAAAAGGTATATAGAACCCAGAGAAATCAAACTAAAAAATGATGTATGAGATGATAAGATTGCATTCATTAGATGCCGCTCATGAAGCCATTCCATTCACATAAAGATGAGTAGAGGGTACAGCTGGAATAAGATGGTTTATTGTAAAACTATATCTTGATAGAATAGTATGTACCAGTAAGGATCTAAGACGGATAGCTTAGCTAATCTATAGCACCACCAGATTTTAACGCTAACTGATAAGAGTGTGTAAGACCCGTGATTAAAGATACAGGATAAGCTTTAGATCAACTAGCTATCATTATGCTAAAGCTCTAGTTACAGCTTAGCCTTAAAAACGTGAATACTGATTATCATGGCAAATGTATTTATTCAACTCATACTACCACTTGTAAATAGTTCAAATTTTCAATTAAGTAGCCTAAGATCTTACCGCGGTGCAGCAGTGTACATGCAAGACAGTAAATTCCTAAATTCAAATGATAACGGATTTTTCACCGCAATTTCTATCCGAAAATTCCGTTCGGCAATGCCATAGAATGTAGAACTCTATAGAGAATATCAGACTACAACTTATACCGTTCAAACCAATATATCACAACTAGCTCTCGAATTGCAACATAAGTTATATGAACTAAGCGAAACCCGAGTTCAATTTCGGAATGGTTTCAATAAGAAATGATCCGAGAATTAAAAAGTGAATGAATCTCAATTCAATGAGCGGAGATATAGTCATTTGACCTGCTGACACAAGCAAGGCGAGCGACATCTCGAGGAGTGAGATTCTCCAATATGGTATTGATGACTTCGTCGGGGAGGATACGGAGGTCTCCCAGAGCTGCTGGTCTGCGATCCCTGAACCCCGAAACCACTGCCTGAGCTCCAGAATTCTCCATCACTCGCTTTTGGAAAGAATTAAATGTTCCCTGATCCTATGGCTGTATCCGTCCTAGGAATGGAGCCGGCTTAGAATCTGAGACGTTTGCGTAGAGGTTAAGCAGAATGGGAGGGAACTTTGGTCTGGTCTGGACCGCGTTTCGTGAGTCGCGTTCATGCCGCGTGCTCGGAGAATTCTCACAGCCGTTCCCGCCACGGCCACGGAATAAACTAACAAAATCAGACGCGCCGCCGTTGACGGTGATTTTGCTAAATATTTCTTTATCCGTTTTCCCACTCGAAAAATAAAAATCAATCAATAAATAAAATCATAGAACTCTTCCGTTTACCTTTGAAGATAATTTCATATAATTAAAGCCTTCCCCTGGATAAATTCTCTYATTGCAACCAAACAAATTAGGTTAAAATCAACCAATGTTTTTTTTAATCCAAACATAGGGGGTGAGGTTTCAATACATATCATAAAATGAAAACTTTTWAAAAAATTACATAAAACTAGAAAAATACCAAAAACATTACAAACTAAAATATATATATATTTAACCTATTACTTTCTTAGTACCATAGAATGGTAATTCGAACTCATATCTTTTTTATTGGTGTCTTCATCCATTGAATTATATTAGGATTAGGATGGACCAATTTAAAATTTTTGTTTACATCCAACTTTCAATGGAGTGAAATTAAACATTAAATTCTGTATAATTCTCTGGAGGAGGATTGATTCATCGGGACTATTAGTTCAAATTTTTGATAGGGGCATATCAATAACAAAATTAGTTCTTCTTTTTATTTCTAACATAAATAACAATAAATGTAGTATAAGCTGTAAATAAATTTAAAAAAAGAATGCTCAACTTTGTAGTATTAAACCTATATCACTTGTATAGTAYAGATGATAAATCTTTACCTTACAAAATCATCTTATTTACAAAATCGTATTCCTCCACAAAAATATTGGCCACCCATTACAATTTCTTTGAACTAACTTTTATCATTMTYCATAAACTCGTAAACCTAAACCTGTTTTATTGTCTATATATGAATATGACTTGATAGATAAAGATATTTATTGCATTTTCAATGAATTTTGTTTCATTGTCTATATATGAATATGATTTGATAGATAAAGACATTTATTGCATTTTCTAAGAATCGATTCAATCATCCAGGTTTTGCCTTATTGAACTAAGAAAAATAAACATTTTATTTTAAACGATTACCCAATTGGAAGGTAAAACTTCCTCAAAGAATATAAGGTGTTTATGAGGTTGATCTTGAGCTGCCATCCAAGCACTAATACCTTTGTTTAACATGATATTTTTCCTCGACATCGACTCTTCACCACCTAAGATTGTAGTATGTTTCAACGTTTGGGATGTTTACCCATTAAAACGGTAGGTGAGATAGGTTCAGAACGTGTGTGACTAATTATATATTGTTTTCAGTTTTTATATACCGTTGGGTTCTCTTTCCTTATTGAAAATTTAAAATAACTGTTTATATTTACATTCAAAAGAACAATACTGAAAACTATAAATTAGAACTTAGAAAAATATATAATTCAATTCGAAACATATAAAAAAGAAAGGAGTACGAGATAAACCGTTGGGAATGGTAGGGTCTAATTCAACCCATTTGTTAAGCTTATTAATCATAACCTCTGTCCCTGTGAGGCTCCCAAAAGCCAAAAACCAACAGTTTCAGTGTAATACAAGTACAACGAAGTTATCATATCATTTGACCCTCGAAAGCAAACTAACAAATACCATAATTGATACAGCCAAAGAGGGGGCGGCGGAAGTTTGTAAAAAAAAAAGACAAGAAAATATTACAAGTACAAACTTAACTCTACTAAAGCATTTTACAGGCCAGAAGAAGGAAGAGAGGTCTGCAACTTGATCCTCCTCTTTCTGAAGCGCTCGGCAATGATGAAGGCGAGCTCAAGAGATTGCGAAGCATTGAGCCTAGGGTCACAGTGGGTGTGGTAGCGTGAGCCCAAGTCGTCAAACGTCACAGTTCTCGACCCGCCGATGCATTCTGTCACGTTCTGCCCGGTCATCTCCAAATGAATTCCCCCGGCGTGGCTGCCCTCTTGCTCGTGCACATCAAAGAATGCTCTCACCTCAGCCTGCCAACACAATTTCTATATTACTACTCACTTTCTTCAAACCAACCTAAGACTTACAGATGGCAGTTATTTTTTTCCTAGTACAACAACACGTGAAGGTATGGATTTGAACTCACGGCCTTTTAATTAGGGATATATACCATAACCAGTTAAGTTAGGCACAAATTGGCACAAATAACCGTTAAAACTTGTTGTTAGTGGGGGTTGACATTGAAAATGAAGTTTCAGCTAAACCCGTTACGTAGCTTCAAGAATTACTTCTCAACTTGAATGACCCACAATGACAGGTAAAAGAAGCAACTTAAGGAGTTAGAGGTTAAAAATATCATAATCGAAAAGTTTGTTCAAAAGGTGCAACCAACTTGGTGATAGGGAAACACAACTACTCCTCTCACCTACCAACCCCAATTCTTAAAGAACAATTTTGGTGCACGAACCTTATTTTGACTTATTACACAAAAATCTTTCTCAAGTCGTCCATTTCCTACCTCATCCTCGTTTGAACAGACAAAATAATATCTACAGTACCTTTTTACCGTTCTTTTTGCAATTATTTTCCAAGTGGCGAAGTACTTGAAATAAGAAATAATTAAAGCAACTGAGTGCTGCTGTTGCTGTTCATCCAGCACTAATTCCAAGCACTTCATAGGGAAGATCTAGAGATTTGGAGATTAAAGTTAATGCTCTAATGGCTATAAACAGATTCCCAACTCCTAAGAGTGACAGAAACCATAATGGTTGAAAACTTGAAAACATCCATTAAGGGGCTAAATCAATGCCACATAGTTATAAATATTGTCCATTATAGAGAGGGGAGAAACAACACACAGCATACGCGCAAGGAACTAAATACAATCACCAAACATGCTTTAAGAACCCAATTAGAATTTGACTTTGCTTTCCACTTTTCCAATGTTTTTTTCCCTGATCGTGTGTTAAAATTATGAATATCATGTTAATAYGCAGTAGCTCAAAGTTCTACTAGTCATGCCTTCCTGATGTAGCCTAGCAGTATGTATAATAATAAAGATGAATTTCATACCCTGATTGAGTCGAAGGGGCGAGTCTTAAGACCACAGGGAGCTTTGATAGTGTTCCCATGCATAGGATCACTAACCCATGTGACAATTTGCCCTGCCCTGCGAACAGCTCTGATCAGATGAGGAAGCTTCACTCTCATGTTCTCAGCTCCCATTCTGGTGATCACTGTTATCCTCCCTGGCTTGTTTTGAGGATTCAAAATCTCAATGAGCTTAACTAGCTCATTTGGATCCATCTTATCGCTTACCTACACCACAAGATTCACCTTATTTAGTCAATTTATACACCATGGAATTTGGAAACAAGATATGATCATATGTCTTTGTTATCAAATTATCAACTAAACAACAGATCTGATGACTTACTTTAATCCCCAGGGGATTAGCAACCCCTCTTAAAAATTCAACATGTGCACCATCCAACTGCCTGGTACGTTCGCCCACCCAAAGCATGTGGGCAGAACAATCATAGTAAAGACCAGAAGTCGAATCCAACCGAGTCAGCGACTGCTCATATGGCAAGAGTAAACATTCATGAGATGTCCAGAAATCGGTTGCTGTCATGATAGGATGATCAGTAGTGAGTCCAGCGGCAGCCATGAATCCAAGGGCCTCATCGACTCGGTGGGCGAGTTCCTGGTATCTGAAACACCAAAAGAATAATAAAATGACTTAAAACCGAATTTTATCAGSAAACCTGAAATATCTTGTACCCAAAAGTAGAAATTAATGTCAATTAAGTCCCAATTCTTGCATATGAAGAATGATGTGCATAAACCAAAAAAAAGGGCATTCAATTCCCCAAAAAGAAAGAAGGTTGGTTTTGCTTTTTCTCCAATTATTACAAGTCTGTGTCGATCATGATTGGCTGGACATAAAGATAATACGCAAATTCGAGGAGACCGATCACTAACAAGCTGGGATCAAAGGGAAAAGAATTCCACGTTTATGGTTGTGCAGTAAATCTCTTAAAAGATCTCTCCAATTAATACAGAAGAAAATATGACAAAGACGCATGCCGGAAAGGGCACGGAAATGAAAGAATAATCAAAATCCCGATGATTCTTATCGAAAGAAAAAGGAAATTCAAAAGCCAGACGAATGCCCAAGATTTATTTTAGCTCTTTTTATGAGAAAAAATTCGTTTAGCTCTTAGAACCGTTCTCTGTTTGACTCCGAATAAATTTAAGAAGACGAAAGTGTCAGAAACAGAATTAAGCAAATACCTATCTCCCTGCTCGCTGTGCTCTGCAAAATCCAAGTTCCATTGTGTGACCCTCTGCATGGCTGCGTAACCACCAGTGGCAAAAGACCTTAAAAGATTCAAAGTTGCCGCAGCTTGACAGTAGGCCCGAATCATCCTCTGAGGATCTGGAGTCCTCGACTTCTCATCAAAAGCATCCCCATTAATATTGTCTCCCCTGTAACTTGGTAGCTTTACGCCGTTCTTCTCTTCGAACGGGTCCGACCTCGGCTTCGCAAACTGGCCGGCCATTCTACCAACCTAGACAACCAATTCCAGATTCACATATCAATTTAACTGAAATCATCGAAGAAAATGAAAATTACATACAGAAGCAAACGAAATGAGACCTTAATGACTGGCATTTGTCCTCCAAACATCAGAACAACACCCATTTGAAGAAGAATCCTAAAAGTATCACGGATGTTATTGGCGTTAAATTCCTTGAAACTCTCAGCACAATCCCCGCCCTGTAGAAGGAAAGCATTCCCCATCGCTGCATCTGCCAGGCGTTCCTCCAGGCTCCTCGCCTCTCCGGCAAATACGATTGGGGGAAACGCTTCCAGCGTATGAAGCACCGAATGGAGCTCCTCCTGATTTGGATACTCGGGAAGCTGCAGAGCCTTCTTGGACTTCCAGCTCTCGATGGCCCATTTCTCAGAACCCACCTTCTGAACCGTCTGCACCGTCGATGAAACTGATTTCTTCTCCGCCGGTGCATCGGAAACAATAGGATTCTTCGCAGACTCGGAAGCGTTGGCGACGATCCGCCGGGGCTTCTGATCGTTGGAGGGCAGAGAACAATGGTGAGGTTTAGAGGAAGGTAGAAGGCACTGAGTCTGAACAAACGATTTTGTAGGGACGATGGAACTGCCAGAGAGCGCCATGGATTCAGCTGCCTTCTTCGATTTCCGCGGCAGTTCGCTGCTGCTGCGATAACTTCTGCGCACACGGATCTTAAATAGACGCCATGGCACAGTTCCAGGCAGGAGCCACGATTTATTTATTTGTTTGTTTTAAAATGGAAAATTAGGCGCCGTCTAGACGGAGCCGAAATTAAACGGAGTGCTGTATTAGCTGTTGCACTGGTTAAAAGTTCAAACTAACGGCGCAATTTAATTTTAATCACATAATTTAAACAAAAACAGTACCTAACTATTAACTTCAAATTTGATTATTAAATTTTGAATTAATGTTTATATTGGTTCGTAAAAAAATAAATGAATTATCTATATGAAAAAATAAAATAATGCTGTAGATTAAGTGGATATTTTATATTTTATATTATTAATTTGAGAATTTGAGTGGTGGTAGTTGGGGAAAATGATTTTGTGATTGCTTTATCCTAGTGTGTTCACCAACCCCGTAGTATACATTTTTTAAGATATAAATACTTATTTCCACAAAAATCAAAATATAATCATAGCTTTTCTTTTTAGACAAATATAATCATAGCTTAAGTCGACAAAAGAAAATGGTAAGCTTTGATATGGAGCTCAAATTCACCCATCTTATCAATCATTTCGTAAAAATATCAATTTTGCGAAATGATACTATAAAAACAAAATATTTTTGAACTAACATAGGGAGGAAAAAGAATGCAAAAACAAAAACAAAATATTTTTCAAATATGTTAACGTGTTTGTATTTTTATAAATAGCATGTTGGCGGTGGTATTTACTGCTAATAGTTTTGAAAGTCTACGTCTCCTCCTTTTCTATTCACAAGTTTACTTACAACAACATGTCTTTTTTTCATTTTTCGAATTCAACATGTGAGATTTAATTAATTATTTCTTCGTAAAATTTTAAAAGCAATTTTTTTTTAATATTATAGATCTAATTTTTATAGATTTGAAAATATATCTCGTTGTTGTTTGTATTTTATGTTAATTGGTTTTTTAAGTTCGTAAATGTATCCTTGAATTTTCACAATATAAATGTCAAAACCATAATTTCTATAGAATTAATATTCTTTCTGAACATAATTGATTGATGCCTGCTTCTTTTTTTAAGTCCAACATTTAGACTTCTATCTTCTCAATTTACATTAAAAAATAAAAAATAAAAAATCTGCCGAACATTAATGATTAAATATATTGTTCTTATATTTTTTAATAGCGTGGCAGACAKTTTTTTTTTGTTAAATATCACACACATTAATGGGTGTCAGAGTCCGGCTAGGCTGAGAAATAAAAAACGTGGCTCACACACTAATCAATGATTTAATTAATTATATTAGGATAAGACAGATTTTTTTCGGCAATTAATTGACTCGAGTTCTTTAACTATAGTTGAATTAATAGGGTTGAAGAATAGTGTCTTTATTATATGGTGTTGGTGTCAAGTATGTTTCTTTAACAAACATTTGTTATAAAATAACTTTAATTAAAATACAAAAATATTTGATTATGCATTGTCTTAAAATTAATTTTRATCGTTAGTTGCCAATATAAATATAGTTCAATAGTAAATACGGAGTGAGCATCATTTTATAGGTGGATGCATATGATATTGTTATGTTGTACCGTTTTACAAAACGATTATACAGTTATACGACGCTTAAAATATTGACCTAATAGAAATTACACTCAAGTAGAATAAAATAAGATCTGAAGAAATTTKATGAGAAGCATAATAAAAAGTAGGAATTACAAGTATTTTTTCCATATTTATAGAGAGGAAAACCTTAAAGTTAACCGAATATCTTCGATAATTCAAATTATTTAGATATGAACTCCAATTCAAATTGGACTAAGTTATAATCTTTTCCTATCCGTAACAAATTCAACTAAAAGGCTTTTTGAGTTCAACGTGCGAGTATATGTATAAGGACTGAAAAAAATCATCGATATATATTTATATAAAAAAAAGATATTTATTTACAAAATAGAGAGAAAAAAAAATTAGGATGTGGGGTCACCAAATGAAGGGTTAGAAAACGTCCGGTCAGCACTTTGAACGCCACCCCACCAACCGAGCCCACCAACCCGCCCAACTTGACATCGCCTTTTTTTTCCCTCTAATTTTTAATTTSTTTATTTTAATATATGCTCGACATATTTTATTGAAATTGACATTTTTTTAAGAAAATGAAATTGACAATAATTCACAACCTGGACGAGCCTCAAATTGTGCGGAGTAGATAGAATTTCAATAATTATAAAGTCACATCATTTAATATAATACAAACGTTGTAGATTGAATTATATATTTAACTTTTAATACATAACATATACGAATAATAAATAATATCACATGAAACTTATATTAAAATTTAAAATTTTTACTTTTGTAATAAAATTAAACATTTAATCAACAAAAATAAATCTAAACTTTCAAAGTTTGGAAATAAAATGAATGGTAGTTTTAAAGTTTGAATAGAAAACTTATATGTAGACAAAAAAAAAACAAACATTTTATCAATGGAACGATTATTTGTCGGCATGCTCAAAGGTAATATATATTTGATAATTGATATAAAAAGATAATATTAGGCGTGTATTTCATTTTTCATAGAGTAGAAATAAAAAACGTGCAAAATAATGACAAAGACATGTTAGTAACTTAGTACGCTTATCGGGATAATAAAGTAGTCGATCCAAAGTCAAAATATTTGTCTCTGTATTTTTTAAAAATGATGACATTAATATTTTTATTTTCATTTGTATCTCATTTCTTTTAAACATAATTTTAGCACAACGCTTCATTCACTGAATTTCTTGAAACATAACCGTAAATACATATCATGATTTCCTGTTGTGTATAAAAACAAAAACGAAAATAATCTAAAGTACAGAAAGTAAAACAAACATTTCAAAATTACAGGAACGAAAATCAATATAAATTAAAAATAGATAAATTAAAATAAATATTTTTAAATCATGAAAATGAATCAAAATCAAAATTACATCAACTAAAATAATATCGAAGAAAATAAAATAAGAGAGAGAGAGAAAACAGCCGCACACCACATAAGTTGGGAGTTGGTGGGCTCGAATGCCACCACATCTTGACCCACCCAACCCTACCACTTTCTTCCTCTTCTATTTAATTTTAGATTAAACCACCAACTTTCTTGTAAATAAATAAAAATAAATAAATAAATTGAACTACCAACTTCATCCCTATAAAATATTAAATCTTATAAATTATCTCCTTATAAAAGTTTTATTTTACCTACCTAAAGATCCATGCATCTTTTTTCCTATTATTTACTTCGCCTTTGACAACCAACAAAGTTAGTCCACCTAAAAACACCAACTCATTGTGTATACATATAGAAAATGTGTTAAGGACGATTGATGAGATTTAACACATCATAAGAACCCATTTGAAAATTTTTAAATCATAGAGATCAAATTAAAACAAATCCGAACTAAATTCAAATTTTTTTAAATCATAATGAACAAATTGATAATTTGATTTCTCATTATTGTTAATTTGAGAGAGGTTAGGCGCAGTCCACAAAGTCAAGCTGAAGATGATCTATTGCGTCAAGTCAAGTTGAAGAAAAAGTGTACGTTTTAATTAATAAAATATTAATGTTCGGAAAAATCGGTCAAAGTATTCCTRATCGATTAAATACCTTTGTATCTATAATAAAGAACACCTAAATCTTATTATGATTTTTTTTTGTCCAAATTATAAGACCAATTTGAAGTAGACTTATTAGTCGGTTCAATTCTCCAACATATACAACCGAAAAATTGTAGGTTGATTCAATTGTAAGAGATTTTTTGTGGTCATAAATTTTCAGAAGATTTCCATTTCTCATATGTACTTGAGATTCTAGTTTGAATGTTTGATTCTCTTATTTGGATTCATCAAACTAAAGGCAACTGGAACTATATAAATGGAATGAAACAGAGACTAGAACAAGTCAGGAGAGAGTTGAAGAAAGTACATACACTTTCCCAGTTTCCACTTTTATGCTTCTACAAAATTAGTTAGCAGAGTAGTGTGAAGCCCACAGATGGTGTCCACAATTTATTGCCTGCCAGAATCAAGGAAGACGGGTCAGAGTGCAATCTAAGCAAGCATCCTCCTACAGAAATCATAACGTCAAGTCATTCCTGAACATAGAATCACAGAAAAATACTCCAAATATTGGTTTTTTTCAAGAACCGAGAGTCCAAGACTGATGCTGTATAGTGTATGATTGTATCACAAGCAATACTCTTTAACAAATGGCAATTATCCGCCAGTGCCGTCTTCCAACCATTCGTTTTCCTCACTCTCTTATCCCCCACCACCCCAAAACCCAATCTGTGCAGGGTGCAGGAGATATGTTTTGGAATGGCCACCTTGATTGAGAATCAATCTCCCCGGTGAACTACCAAAATGAGTGAAAGAACTACCGAAGAAGTGAATGAAGGCAATTTCTTATCCCATTATGTTATAGAAGAATGTCATTTGTTCTGTGCCCTCAGACACTCGGGGCAAGAGAAAACACTTGAGTCCTATTCAGAAAGAGCAATATTTATCAAAAGGAGAGGAAGTGCCTTGGATAGATACAGAATTTCCAAGGAATAATAGTAACTAAAATCTAGGGCAGAATAATTTTGCTGTTGGAGCAGGCGGAAACTAGTTCCTCTTCCTTTCTAGGATCATGTTTCTTATTGAAAGATAAGAGGGACCGAATAAGAATTTTGCAATCAACAACATGTGGAAGTAGTGATTCGAACCTTTAATCGAGAATACCTGTTTTAACCAGTTAAGTTATGTTCCAGTTGGTAGGAACACGGATAAAATTTAGAGCAAGAGAGAGGAAAACAGGATGGGAATGAAACTGGACACTTGAAAATATCTCTTTTCTTATTATAGAGTGTCATAACTTGGTCCTTTTTTTTTAAATCCGTGTGTCCGGACCAGCTTGCGCACAAATCTCGACTAATCACAGGCCAACCACCTGACCCTACTACATTTGGTTTACAAGGTAACTCGTAGGATATTAAATCCTAGGTAGGTGGCCACCATGGTTTGAACTCATTCCCTCTAAGCCGTTTGCTATTTACTTGGCCCTTATAGACCACTAGGCTATCCCATGAATCCATGATGGTTGTGACATAGCTTGGCCTTGACATCAATAATTGTGCTGACTATTGACACAGAGAAATTAAACCAATCAGATCTTCCTACAGAACGCTAAACCATTTACTGTGCCATGTATTTATAAGAAAACAAAGTGACAGGGAAGAAGCCTACCAAGCACGCATGTTTTGCAGTAGAAAAGACCTAAACTTTTTATTTGAAACAAGAATACCTATTATATAAGCATGTGAAGGGGGGAAAAAGGTCGATGGGATAAGGTACATATACATATCCTAACCCAAGCCAGCATGATTACAGAAAAGGTCGCTTAATTGGCACTCATATAAAAGTACCAAAAGTTCCATCAAGAGAGTTCCAAGAAGAGGCCACAAAATGAGCGAGGTCTAAATATTCAACTGAATCCTTATGTTCATTTTATAAACAAAAACAAAAAAGGCTGCAATTCCTCTCTAACCACATATACCAACAAAGAACTATATCCAAGCTTTCTGCCAAAGAATTTATGCCTAAGTAGTACCCACTACAAAAAATGCCTGACCCTTTGGTCTTATCCCATCATTTCTGCTAAGCAAAACAGCAGAAAAGGTTTGGTAATATGCATAACAATATCCTCAAATACATGATGAAGACTCGTCTATGATTTCTCAATGACATGTACACACATCTATGGTTAAGGAATCTTATATAGCAAGAAGCTTCGATGCTGATGTTAACAATTCCATTGTTGACAGAATAGCTCACCAGCAGTCTAGCTTGGGCTTCTAGTGACTAAGGTTTATCAGGAAGTAAACTAAAAAGCACCCTTATATTTGAAAGCCAGTAATTAAATTGTTTGCTTGATTTCAGGAAGCTTAAAGAAAGCCCTTATTACTGTGGGGGAAGATAAACTTCAATTCAGTCAATACTTTCAAGTTTCAACWATTCAAAATCTATGATAGAGCTTTGGAGAGGAAATAAGTACAAGCATTGATTTAATTAAAAAGATACAAGGCTCAGATATTCTAGAGGTGTGTCTTTCCCAAACAACTAGAAAATACTCGCTAGTTTCGACTGCTGAACTCCTAATCTATCAGCGTCGTACTCACTTCAGAGAATCCATTAACAGATTTCACAACCAATAACAAACTACGGAAAAGACTTTACTACMCCAAGTAACTGATACTAATAGCTTAGCAAAATAGAAAAGCATTTCTAAATTAAACAATATCAAGACCAACAATGAAGTTGCCTTAGAGCTAGATTACACTATGTAGTCTTATTTTGGTTCTTAATCACAAAGGAATCTTGTGGTTTCCATCGGTTTTAATCTTACAAAATAGAGAGATTATTGTGGTCAAGTTTATTCTGGATTCATTTCGCTTCTTCTAATTAACCTTGATACAAGTTCATTTCAAATTTAAAACATGTTCAAACATGAATATACGAAACAGAAATATTTTAGTTTGTTGAATAATAGAACATAACGAGAGCTTTGTAGAAGGAAAAGAAGACATTGCAAACCTAGAGGTCATTCTTGAAATAAAAATAGATTCGAGTACCCTATGCAAACTCATCGTTCACTATTATGATTTGTTTATGTTCACCGATTCATAAACTCATGTAAACACATATCTCCATGAGATGTTCTAAAATTGAATTCCAAACTCCAACCAAATGTAAAACAAAAATTCTCAGGAGTCATACCATTTGATGAGCCAGCCGAAGAGAAAATGCTGCATAATAGGAACTTTCTCCAACACCTCCGCTTTATACATTTTGAGCAACCCACTGTTCACCTTCTTCCAAGCAGGAACCCCACTGATATCATCCAGCAACGGAGAGTGCTCTGCAAACAAACCCTTCTTCACTTTCTTCACGAAAGCAATACATGAAAGATACAGATACTCATTGGAAAAGTTATCCAATATATCAGGATTGTGAATAGATTTGGGTTTCATGTATTTATGGTCAATCAACTGAGAGGCCCCGAAAATGAAAGGTAAAAAGTGGTAGTCGTCAAGACCCCAAACCCCGTGTGATCCCGCCGGCTCCAAACAATATACTAATTGCAACTTCCTCATTAACTCCAGGTACTTAACGAAAACTCTTGCAACAACGGCTTGATAATCTTCTTCTTTAATAAGCCCTAACCTCGCCAGGCAATACAACCAGGCGGCAAAATTCGTTTCGTGACCCGTGCCGTAATCGATTCGGCTCGAATTTCCGAAGCTATCTGTGAAATAGGGGACTAACTCGACAGTGGCGGATCTTCGATCGTCAGGAAGAAGCCGTAGGATGAGGTCATCGCTGTTTTCGACCAAGCGAGAGTGCCAAGTTCGGTACGAAACGTTGCCGTATCGAGCTGCTTGCTCGGTGGGAGGTATTTCATCGATCCAATCAATTAACGAATGAAGGATTGAGATAATGGAATTCACGGTGTCCGATTGGTGGCAAGGATCRGAAATCTTGTGGCCGCGCATGGATTCAGAGAGGGCGACAATGAAGCCTAGGAAATTCTTACCCGAATCCGAATCGTTGAAGCAGCGGATATCTTCAGGCGATTGGATTTTCTTGGAAGGGGCTTGAAAAAGAAAAGGAGGCCCAACGAGCGGCACCTTCTCCGATTGGGGAACCGGAGAGAGAATTATGGCTTGCCGGGACTGTTCGTTGGGAGGGAGATTGAGGGCTGGAGCTCTGATTGGACGGTAGGCTGGAGGCGGCGAAACTTCCGACCACGAAGGGGGCGGCTGAGCAAAAGTGGTGGGGCCGCCGCATTTGCGGCATGTTCCACATGGCGCAGTTGTAGAGTCGTGGGCGGCGGGGGAGGAGGACGCCGGCGGGCATGAGGTGTCCGGCGACAGAAGGGTTTGGTGCGAGTGAGGATGTTCCATTGCTGCAGAAAGTGAGAAGTGGAACTGAAAGGAGATGGTTAGATCGGGTGGCGAAGCAAAATGGAAGCTGATTCTGGTTTTGATTCTTTTTGCAGGGACGACGGAGAAGTCGGTGAACTTTCTAGGAACAGCCCACTTTGAAGCCCAACCTTCTAAACCCAAGACGTTTTTTCTTTTTCTTTTTTTGCATTGCGATTATGGGTGTGCTCATTTTATTTTTCAATTTTCACCTCCAAAGAATTCCTATAGTTCTTTCCTCTGGTCTTTAATTTTTTTATATTTGTTTTTGTCTAGAATTTGGGGTTAAGATCTTTTTAATACAACATGCGGTAGTTAGGAGTCAAACTCAATATTTTGTAGTCGAAAATATGTGTCTTGATCAATTAAGCTATACTCAAATTACGGACATTTTAATTTGTAAGGCTTAAATTATATTTTTAGATTTTCTTTATCACATTTTAATTATATAATCTTCAAACAAAATCCCTATCAATTTTTGGTTTTATGCATTTTCTTTATTTTAGGCACTTTCAGTCCAAAAACGGAATGTCCCAACGCCAGCAAAGTTAGGGCCCAACTTACCATTGTACTTTGGAAGTACGAAGTAAAACAGGGCAAGCCAGCTACTGGATAACAAAAGCAAAACCCAAATCCACTTGCATTTATTTCCAAACTCCGCTATCGCTATTCACATTTCCAATTTGGGGACAAAAAGAAAACTATTCCTCTTCACCTGCCGTGAAATTTAAGCTTGAAAATCGATCTTGGAAAGCAGCAATTGATCAAAATCATGTGGACAACACCATTTCATTCATAAAAGCAAACAAAAGATAATTTGCTCTTTCTATTATTTATCCGCGTAACAGTGCATAAAGAAAAACAAATGAAGAAATCAACGAATTTCATTTTCCGATCTCTCTCACTATGATCCTATCCAGATTCTAACCCCAAACCCCACAAAAATTCTCACACCAAAGTCGAACAAGCCGATGTGGAAGGATCGTACATCGCCGGAAGCAAGAATTTCCTTCCATTAGCGCCGTTGGCATTGTAGCTCCCGCCGGTGGTGGAGTCCGTCAGCAAGTCGCCGGCGTAGCCCGGGTAAGCCCCTTTGCCGTAGACGCCGGTGCAGGCCGAGGCGGCCTCCAACGGAGCCTCCGCCGGCCCCTGGAAGTAGCCGTTTCCGAAGGGGTTCGTGGCGGTTCCGGCCAAAAGACTGGCGAGATTGATGATCATTCCGTCCATTCCCACATCGCCGTTGGGCGCGATCAGCGGCGGCGACTGGGGCCCGTAAATCGGCTGGTGGAAGGGCCACGCGCACTGGCCTGGGCATTGGATCTCAGAATTTCCAACCCAAACGTAAGCAAATTTGTAATTCTTCCCCTTAACCCCACCGGATTTAGTGGCAGAGGCCGACCCATGAGTGCCGCAGCGGCTCATACAGAACCCATCAACAGCCACATCAGAAGCCGTCAAAACCACATTAATCGCGTCTTTTTGCTCACCCTTAGAAGCCAATTGTACGATTTGCTTGGTAGTAAGCGATTTCCCCAGAGAGTAGCTTTCATCCACCACTTGCCGGCCCAGAGCCAGAAACAGGGGAGCCGATTTCTTGGAAGACAGCTCGTAATACTTCTCCGTTAACTTCCACCATGTGGAAACCGACGGCTCGCCGACTTGGGGGCGAGAGTAAGAGAGGGAGTTCACAAAATCAGAGACAATGGCCTTCTGAGAAGGCTTGAATTTGCCGTACCAAATGAGATTGACGCTGATTTTGCCAGAGAGAAGAGCGCCATTGTGGTATTTCAGCATCTGGGTCTGGTCTTGAACGAGCTCATTCAGCATCCTGGATGCGAAGGAGATCTGGAGCAAGGAGATAACAAAGAGGAGACGAATCATTGCTGAAGAAGAAGAAGATAAAGAAGCCATTTTTATGGAACTGAGATGAGACTGAGACTGAGACTGAGATGAGACTGAGACTGAGATGAGATGAGGTTGTGGGGGAAAAAGGGTATATATAGGAGGAAAATTTATGGGGGTTTTGAAAAAATTGAAGTTAGTGCGGTTTAAGTGGGGTTGGGCAGGAACCTGCCAAGAAGTGAAGGAAAAAAGAAAAAGAAATGAGATGGCATTGGCTATGGCCATGGCTATGGCTGTGGCTTCCCATTTACGATTGCTGAGAATTGGCCAGCAAGTAAAGAGGAAACACCCGACCCAATTCCCCATGCGCCTGAGATGCGTGCCCCACGCGTGGGACCAACGCGCCGGACGAATTGGAGCGTGAGGGACACGCGCGATGAACTCCGTAGGATGGGAAAGTTAAAAATCTTCGGATTTTAAATGAAAACGTGTGTTACAGCGGGAGGAGGAGACCTTCTTTTTCTTTTTCTTTTTTTTTTCTCTTTTTGTTTTTGGGTCTCGATCTCGCTACRGGACAAAAAGSGTTACAGCTTAGATACAGTAGGGGGAGGGAGGAGAAAGTCGGAAATGCCCCGGGGAGTGTGGGGGGAGGCAGGGGYAAAAAGGGGAAATGAGGGAGGGAAAAAGACGTTGGGGGACAGGYTGGAGGCAGTGCATGAATGTAAAAAGTGATGGAGAGGGCGTAAAACAATCCAACTGGCAGTCAGCGTTTGGGGGCATAAAGGGGAGACGGTATCCAATGGGAGGGAACACGTGATGTGCACGTGATAGGTGACGCTCTCAGTCTCCTCCCCAGTTTTTGGTAATTTAATTCGTTTGTGATAATTATGCCACGTAGAGGCTGCGTATTGGGTACCCAGGTAGCCGGTGGCACACTAAACCAGCTCCAGTGAAACTCTTACTGGACCTCCCCAGGCCCAGCTGGCATAGCCTCATAAATCTTGAACCTAGAGCTAGCCGTTTGATTTTTTTCTTCTTTCTAGAAATGTTTATTTAAGGGATTTAAATACAGGGTTTGAAAATCCTGTGTTTTAGACTGCAACACTATGGAGTGGGTTTCAATATTTCAAAAATATTATTTGAACAAATATTTATTAATATTTTAAAWTGAAAGTTGACGTAAGAGCATCTATAATGACGTGACAATTAACTAAAAGAGAGAAAATATGGAAGAAATTATCGTTCTTAAAATGGAGATGAGGATAAAAATTGAGTAAATTATGGATACGCAAATTCTATTGACAATTAGGAAAGAAGATTATTAAAGCAAAATTAAGATGTTAATTGTCGATATCGTTCTAAATTATGTCAKGTAAATTTTTCGTTTAAATGTATTTGAAAGGTTTTTTGTAGTATTGGAATTTTTTGAAAATACAAATGTAGTTTTAAAATAAGGTTTTACATCTGTCTCTCTTTTTTAGTTGAAAAAGTTTAGTTTGGTTTTATGGGAAGAAAATAAATAAGATAGATAAAGAAATGATGAAAAATGATGTTGGTGATTAATGTGCGTATTAAATGCGTATAATTAATAAAGATAGAAAGTAAACCCAAAATCACGAGTCTGCCAATTGCAACAGCATTGGCTGTATGTAAACATTATCCAATAACACAAAAACCCAAAAATGAAAAATAAATAAATAGAAAAAGCCTTATTTTGGGGTTCACGAGGCCTGCCCGGCAAACCCTACCCTCTGCCCTAGTTGATTAAAAAATGGAAGCCTATGGATAGGGAAGAAAGAAGAAGAAGATTCTCAATACTCAATTATTAAACAAGTGCCGCCGGCGAAGGAGGAAGCTCCGGCTCCAGCTCCGGCAGCCGCCGGTGAGATAGGGTTTTGACTAATTGGCTTGTGTTTTAGATTCTGTTTGTCTGTTACGTCCGTGGCTGGAAAGCTGTACTTGTCTCGTGACCACCTCCCCTAAAACAAAACACAAAACCGAATTTGATTAAATTAAATGGATTATCAAAATATGGCATGTCTTCCTTTTTGGGGACTTCTTGTTCATAATTTTATCTTGATTCTTGTTTTTCTCTTTGGAGATGTAATGCTTAAAATGTGCTGTATTAGTTGTTTCATATGATGTGTCAAATATAATTTATGCGGTTTCGTAATTGTATTGCTGATATCATTGTTTGGTTTTAGTTGAGAAGTTGTGTGAAATAATTGTCAATTTTGATAACGTTCTCGTTTCTTATTTCTGTTTCTTGTTTTTAATAAAAAAAAAATGGAATTGCATGATTTCAATATCTATGTATTCAAAGAATAATAAAACAATGTTTTTATTTATGTTTTGAAATAAATTGAAAACGGAGAAAAAATAATAATTTGTTTTTTGTTAATTCTAAAATTTTTATACAATTTTATGAATGTTTCTATCAAATACAAAAAGTTATCAAATAAATAGATTTCTTAGTAATATAAAAAAGGTAACCTTAAACTTGCATAATACCTTATAATTAAAAACAAAGATGTTTTGGGGGAGAAGATTTATTTTGTAAGCACTTTAGAAAGAAAATTAATTAGGGTGAGTGCATGGGTGACTTTTGTAAGGGAAAAAAAGGCCTTCTACAATAATTAATAATTTAAAGTGTATTTTTGTATAGCTTATTAAATGATCTTAGAGGACTAAAAATGCTTTAAAAAAATTATTGTGTTTTCGCAATAAAAAAATTATTTTTAAAAAATTATATTAGGTTTTTTTTTTAGAAAAACTATGTGGAAAAAAGACGATTATCCCGACGGTTATTTTAAAAGGACTAGTTTGAGCATTAAAAAATGATTCAAAATATATATATGTCAAATTCATCCTAAATCTTTTGAGCACATGTTGATGTAGTTTTCTGCTAAACTTATAGATCGATCACGTGCTAACTAAAATTCATCCTAAATCTTTTGAGCACATGTTGATGTAGTTTTCCGCTAAACTTATAGATCGATCACGTGCTAACTAGGACGAGTTGTCGATGTGCGATCTCAGTGAAACCTGCACAATAAATAAACACTCTGACACTCAAGTTAGTATAAGTTCGAGTTATGTCAAGTCGTTTTTCGAGGAATTGCGTACTTGAATTGTGGGGTGAAGTGTCCATTTTATAAGCAGGCAGGAGAGACGTGACCATTCGGTTATGACTCTCAGGCCCCAAATCAGTAGTTGGGCCTAAGGTCGGATTACTCAGGTCAGCTGGCAAGCTGGTATGTTAAATAAGTGTTTTGTTTGTTATGAAATATGTCTTACTTTTTTCATTTTAAAAAATAATTTTTAAATTTTTTTTTTACCAAATAATTAAATTTATATGATTGAATATATTTCTTACAATAAATCTAAGTTTATAGTCCTAAACTGAGATAATCTATTAAATTTATGTTAGTTTCATTCACTTTAAAAATCTAAAAAACTTACTAATTTAACAAAATCAAATTTCTCAAATTAACTTCCATTAATGCACAAAATATAATGTCAAATAACTCACTAAAACTTTCAAACTTAGAACAACAGTAATATCGATTTTGTCTAAATCATATTAATTATTTTTATGGCAAAACATATGTGAGATTATTTTTTTCAACAAAATTTCAAATGAAAATCTATCGAACGGTAAATTTTGTGACATATTTTAAAGTTCAATGTAAAAATTACAACATTATCCAATTGTAAGATAGAAGTCAATACACATGGCCAAGTTGTAGTATAAGATTGATATTTTTCAAATCTTTATATGCATTTGTACCCCTGACATATATAGAATCTTGGATTCAGCACGGGCTATACTATGATCAACTCTCTCAGAATTACCTAGTTGGATATTAAGTGTGTTCATCMTCCCTTCTACTCATAGAGAAGAGAATTTACCCCAATAAAAAACTTGGGGTAAAACTCAATCTATCTTGCTCTCTTGGGTGAGAGAATTCACACTATTTTATGGGAGAGGCACATTAATTTTTATAGAAGTTATTAATGCATCTAATTATCATGTGGAAATTGGAGTCGTAAAAATCTTGTCATGTCAATATACAATTAGTAACTTTAGAAGGCAAATGAATTTCATTAATGGTGGAATGTAGTTGGGATTTACCGTCTCACCTTGGCCTTGGCCGGCCCCAAGTKAATGGCATTGCCACCCCATTCCCATTTCTCATCTTGACTTTTTTTTTTTCCTGGATTATATTGATTTGCCTTTTGTTAATTGCAGAAAAAAGTACCATTCAATACTATGATTTTGTCTTTTTTATATGATATTAATGTAGCAGACAACGAATAGAAAAAGTATTTTAGAAATTTTCCAGTAATTACAATTCAACCACACTCTTCTCACCCCATTTCTACTCGTCCAATTCCAATCAATACCAAAATGTAGATTCTCCCCAACCTCACACTCTCACAGCTCCATTATTGCACTAAATAAACCCCTTCCAACATAACCCACCTTCATAAATTAATGCAAAATATACACTATACACTTCCAGCATGCCTATGCCCCTAAGTCAATAAATCCTTTCTTCCAGTGATAATCTTACATTCAAACTCTTATGTTTATTTTGTATGAATCTAGAATAATTTGAGAGAAATGGTTTAAAATTGGGTAAGGTAGGGAATATATAATATATATATATGTGTGTGTGTAATTGAATTAAAATAATAATTAAAGGAAGCAAGAGCATTTTGTGGGGTGTGTTGTGTTGGGAGAATGAAATGGCCGACAGAACAGAACAGCCTTCGACGAATAATAGAATCGAGTGTTGTCTGTCCGAATGCGGTGTACCGCAGCAATTCCATTGCCATGTGAAACCCTGAAACAAAACTTTATAATATAACATGTAACATATAAATTAAATAAAGCCTACACCAATACAATACCCACTCCTTTAATTTATTTAATTTTCTTCCCATATGCCACCCCCTCAAATTTTCAGATTTCAATACTTTTTCTTTTCTTTTAAGAAAATTAAATTGACTATTTGATTTTACTAATAAATTATGATTATTTTGGTATGGACTAATCGGGGCAAAAGATAGTGTAAAACAACATGTGAGGTAGCAATTTGAGCCCACAACATTTTGGTTAGGGATATATGTCTTAACCAGTTAAATTGTGCTCTAGTTGGTATTGCAAGAGATGGTCTAATTGAATAAAATGTGATGCATTGTAGATCATTATTCGTTAGTTTAATTGCTGTGTTGTGTTAATATTTCATTCTTTTTATAATCAAAATCAAAAAGTTATTTTTGGTTTCATCTAAAAGACTTCGTATGAATGGAGATAATTATACTTATTTATATACCATAGATTAGTCCATTTCCTAACTAATATGGAACTTTATTTGCATTTGTTACAAACTCAACGGCAAGTGCTCTCATGCAAACTCATTATCCTTTATACTTTTATCAGTTGAACTACGTTGATGTTGCATTAAATTATAGATCATTGATGAGAGATAAAAGAAGTAAAGGGAAGTGCCTCATTTGGAACGTACAGATTCTCTTCTATGCCACCTCTGCTGCCTCTCCATTTAACTTCAATTATTATATCAACAATCTTATTCCTCTCCTCTCACACTTCACCCTCTTCACTATTTTTGAACCCATCACCAATTATTTTGATATAATTATACTATGTTTTTTAATTCAATAATATTGGATGGCCAAATTATAATTTGAACTAATTAAAGTTTGTATATTTTTATCAAAAGATTGAAGATTCAATCTCCACCTCACCTCACATGTTTAATTGAAAAGAGAAAGAAAAAATAAACAATAGGGTAAGATTCAACCATTGAAGTTTAGAATTGTAATAAATGATTTGATTATATACTTATACCACTTATATCAATGGACATCAATGTCCATTGTTACCTACAAAAATATAGTTTAATGGTCATATATTATTAATATTGATATGGTTCCATCTAAAAACCAATTGTTAAAGAAGATAAATATCTCGTTTATATTATAAACCCTTGCTTTAGATCTCTTTACCTTCTCAAATGGTTCATTTTTTTTGTGTTCACCAATCTCAAACGAATCTCATTTTTTAACCAAATCATCGTTTGAACTTTTGAACTCTGATACCATATTAATATTTATGAAGTTACATATCAAAATCAGTTGACAACGAAAGAGAGTAGTAATCCACTTCTATATTATGCACTCTTGTTAGATCATTTATCTTTTCAATTTGAGATCCTTAACAAATATCAACCATGAGAATTGATTAATCTTTTACTACTCCTGGAAAGATCAGAACTTCTCTAACATAGCCTATTTGGCCTCCTCTAGTTTAAATAATCAAAATTCTCTTTTCTTAAGCATGAATTACAGATATCGATTAGCTATAAACCAATTTAAATTCACGTAGCCTTTGCTTGTGACGTACAAACTATTTCATTATAAAAATTTGGAAGCGTGTAACATTTGAAATATACTAATAAAACTTTGAATTTGATGAAGCCTAGCCTATTAAATATTCTAGTTGCCCCAATCTCCTAATTTTAAGTAGTAACCAATAAGCATCAATCGATCCAAGAACGACGACACACAAATTGAGGCTTTTTTCGTATCTCTTATTTTAAATTTCCAAGAATTCAAAATGAAATAAAATTAAGCAAAGATTGTCTATTAAATTTGCTCCTATGTGTTAAAAACAAGTTGAATAAATCATAAATTTAGCAAAAAGAATCTCGAAACATTTGTCAACGAAGGTAGAAAAAATTAAATAAAAATGTATAACTAAGCGTGTGAAAGAATGTAAAAAATTTCAACATTTGCTATTGTAGCATTACTTATTGGTTAGAATATATATCCTCAATCAAAATATTGAAAATTCGAATGGTTGATATATCCATGAATTAAATTTATCTCATCCATCAACTTAAGCTTTTTTAGATTTGTTAGAATCCATATAAATAAATTAAATTTATCCAACTCATTAACTTAAATTTTTGGGTTGGACAGTGATTTTTTCGTTATGTGTGGATAGTGTTTAGGTAAAAAAATAATCTCATTTAAAAATATGTATGAATCCGTGTGTACACGTATGTATATATTTCTCGAATAATTAATTGACTCATGCATGCATGTCAATTTACGAGACAGAGAGCCCCCAAAAGTCGTTGAAAAAATAAAGAAAGAAATGTTAGATTCTTCCCCCTAACTTAACTTTAAATCCTATCAACTTCTCGTGAACTCTAGTTTTAAATCTTTAATCCCCCTTTTTTAGCCTTCAAAAACTTCCTCGAAAGCTACCGCCCAACTTCTTTGCCCCACCTATATATACTGCCTACAAGAACCCTCCTTTCACCCCCAAAAAAATCTTTTAACTCTCTCAAAATTAAAAATTACAACTGATTTTTTTTTAATTAATTTAAAAAATGGGTTTCTCTGGGTTTCCAAATTCGATTCTTGTTCTTCTCTTTGCCTTATTCAATCTGTTGGATTTGGGGGTTGGAGCGAGAAAGCTTGCTTCTTTGTATCAGCCGCCGGCCATGGCCATTAGTTACCATAATGGGGCTCTTCTTGAAGGGGATGTTCCTGTTTCCGTTCTCTGGTATGGTAATTTCACGGCGCCTCAGAAAGCCATTGTGGCCGATTTTTTGCTCTCCCTCAATCCGCTTGCGCCAGTTGGCCATGTGGCCGCCGCCGCCGCCGCCGCTCCGTCCGTGTCTCGCTGGTGGAGTACTGTCCAGGTTTGTTGAATTTACCTCTTTGCCCCCAAAAGTTTTTAGTAACACTCCCGCTTTATTTTTGGCATTTACATTTTACAGAAGTTCAAAAGTTGATAACAAGAGCAAAATTTAATTAGTTAGTTAATCATGGAACATAACTAAACTGATTAACCCACAAATTTTCTATATTTCAAAGGTTCAAATTTGACTGCAGAAAAAAAAATTAGTTCACACGTTACTAAGCTCTTTTAGGATCAAAGATTTTAACCTCTACTCTAGTTAAACTATTTTAGATTAGTAAACTTAAAATGATGCGTTATTGAATATTTAATTTCTCATTAAGGTTTATATGAAAAAAGCCGGCAAGAAAAACGCCCGGATTGTTTTAGCGAACCAAGAAGCAGACCAAAACTACTCCATCGGAAAAATCTTAAAGAAGTCCCAAATTTCGGGGCTTTCTCGGAGGGCCGGCTCGAAACACGGCGGCGTGGCTCTGGTCCTCACGGCGGAGGACGTCACCGTGGAGGGATTTTGTATGAGCAACTGCGGGTTTCACGGTTCTGACAGCAAAACGACGTCGCCCTTCATCTGGGTCGGTAACTCAGCGAGTCAATGCCCGGGTGAATGCGCCTGGCCTTTCCACCAGCCCATCTACGGCCCACAGACGCCGCCGCTCCTGCCGCCCAACGCCGACGTCGGACTCGACGGCATGATAGTCAACATCGCAACTCTTCTGGCCGGAACTGCCACGGACCCGTTCGGAAACGGCTACTTTCTGGGGTCGCCGGAGGCGCCGCTGGAGGCGGCGACGGCGTGTACTGGAGTGTACGGAAAGGGTGCTTATCCGGGATACACCGGCGAGCTGCTGCGGGACGAGAGCAGCGGCGCGAGTTATAACGCCGCCGGCGTCGGAAACAGAAAGTATCTGTTGCCGGCGTTGTTCGATCCTTCGACTTCTCGGTGCTCTACGCTAGTTTGACCCGCGGGGGATTTTAGCAGGTTTGAGAGAGAGAAAGAGAAAAAGAGAAACGGGAGGTGGTTCCTCACGTGACATTGTACATATGGTGGTATAATATAAGATATGCGTGTGTAAAAAGTTGACAACAGAAATAATAAATGGTTCTGTAAATGGATATTTTCTTCTTTTGCCCCATTTTAAAAAAATTAGATAATGCCGCTTTCTCTTTTATTTATTATTTTTTTTATAGATATAAAATGGCACTTTTCTTTAATCTTCAAATAAAATAGAATAATTCCTATAAATCTTGTTCATCATATTTGGCAGACTATTTGGTGGGGCCACCATAGGCCACATTAGAGGCATGAAAAAGGTTTAACATCTGTTTTTCTATAGTTCGAGTTAACTCCACTCTTACATTTTTGGTCTTGTTACATTTTCCTAATAAAATAAATGATAAAATTAATATTCTCAATCAATTAATTAACGTGTCGTTTCATAATTGATTTGTTTATAGCTTTCTGTTTTTAAGAATTAAACTTGTTTTTTTACATTTTCATTTGTAAATCTTATCACTCAAATTCTTAATCAATTTTGAAAACTAATTTTTTCTTCCTTTTAAATAGTCTTTATAATTTTAATATTTAAAAACAGAAAACAACAAATAAAATAATTATCAAACAAATCTTAAATTTAATTGTTTTGAAGATTGGCCGGTGCTTGTTGCTATTTTTGTGGTTTACCTACTTGATCTTGGGGATTATCTGGTTTTTTTTCTAAAATTTCTATCCTTAATTAATTTTGTTGGTGGAAATTTTATAGTACTCATTAGTTTCATGGATAATATTATAATTTAATTTTGAAAAAACATTCTTCTTATTTAGATTTAAAGTCTAATTAATGGAACGAAAATGAAAGTTTAAAGTGAAAAGCAGGTAATTGCATTAAATTCTTTCATGGAACATCCACGATCCATACGTCAACTATCGAAATGGACTTAAAAAAATGATGATGATATTAAATTTAAAGACAATATTAAAACAATAGTTCAATGTAAATTATAAACAAGATGGTTCTATGAAGTATTTGGGCTGTTGGAGCCACTGGCCCCAGCTTCTGTCTCCGTTGGAGTACGCTGTGGACTCTGCCAACCTGAAATTATATCCAAAATATACATAAAATCTTCTGCTTCATCTTCAACATATATTTTCTTTTTCTTAAAATATCATTTTTATATCTCTACACTTTAATAATCTCTAAGGTCTAAAAAAGTTTTATTACTCGTGAAATATGCAGAAGATATATTCACGATGAATCGATGACAGTTAATTGAGTTTTTGGTATTATTAATAATCTTTCTTTTTTTGTTCATCTTTTTACTTTTCTTCACTTTTAAGCTCATTATGGTTCCATACACAACACATCCCATATCTCAACTTACTTAATTTTTTTGAAGGGTTTTTTTATGTGGAATAATTTTAGAATTGTTTTATAAATAAAGCTAGCTGGGTTCAAAAAAGATTTTTAAAAAATCTAAATAGTTTCTGAATATTAAAAGATAAAAATTTTGGTTAAAATGTGAGCTGTAATTTTTTAAAATATCATTCTCAAAACAACACCTTAGAGAATTATTTTTAGGAATAGTTTCTAAAAATTGCTTTTGATTAAATAACTTGTTAATAATATGGACTGAAAGTCATTGTTTACCAATAATTATGATTTCAAAGGAAGAATAAATTTTAAAAAACATTCGATCAACGAAAATAATTTTAAAAATCAATTACAAGTCATCTCACTCAACATATTATTATTATTAGGCCCAAACTATTTTGTGTTTAGTTTTTTTCTTTTTAAAAATTAGGCTTGTTTTTTACATAGTTTTTCACCAACCTCTCAAAAACATATTTAAAAGATTCTTAGCTAAATTTGAAAAAAAAAAACTACATTTTTGGTTGTCAAAAATTCACCTAGATTTTGAAAATGATTATAAAAACTATCTAACCAAACAAAAGAATATATATATGTGATAAAAACATAAACCAAATTGAAATGATTATGAAATCCTCACCGGTGAGTATCTTGTGCTAACCATCATTAAATGTTTGACCAGATAACTTAAAAAAAAAAATGAGCTATCAATCTTTTTATTATTGTATTGATGGTTAGCATAGAATTAGATTATTAGATTAGCACCCGCCAAGACCTAGTAAGTTTTTTCCTATCCGGTTTAACATATTTTTTTGGTTGCTAATATTTTATCATTTTAACAAACAAAAACTAAAATTTAAACTCTACTTCCAAACAACCTCTTATGTGACCCAATGACCTAAAATTGAGAATGAGAAAGGCAGGAGTCACTAATA